ATGTTCAGTCTTAGCTGGGTGTGGTGGTGAATGCCTGTAAACCAGCACCAGGGAGGCTGAGGCAGGAGGATTGCTTTGAGTTTAAAGCTAGCCTGAACTACATAGTGAGACCCTGTCTAAAAAAACAATTAAAAAAACTCCCAAAATATATGATGTTCAGCATTGCTAAAAAGCTGATCTCAAAAAAGCAGAGAATAGAGCCGGGGATTTAGCTCAGTGGTTTCGACGCCTGCTGCGCAAGTGCAAGGACCTGAGTTCGATCCCCAGTACCAAAAAAAAAAAAAAAGCTGAGAATAGAATAATGGTCACCAGAGCCTTAGGGGGAACATGGCGGAAGAAGGTATGGAGAGAGGATAGGTTACAAATACAGGGGTGCTGTTGGATAACTTTCAACCTTCCAGAGCAAAGTGGTTTAACTGGTTAACAACACTTAATTCAATACTTACTTCAAAATTGCTACAGAAGGTCTTGAATGTTTCCAACACAGAGAAATTATTAATGTCCTAAGTGAGATATATCAGTTACCCTGATCTGATTGTTATACATTGCATACATTATTGAAAGTTCACACAATAATCTGTAAATATGTACAATTACTTTGTGTGAATTAAAAATGCTTTACAAAGCTGTTAATGCTCTGTAAATTAATCAATAGCCCTTTAATAAAAATCAATATGCTATTACTTTTATTTTGGAATTATTTTCAATTTATAATATAGAAAAGTTACAAAAATGATAGAGTTGCTGTGTATCCTTCCCTCGGTTTCCCATAATGCTAATTTTTTTTTCAGTGCCTCATGGATATGTGCTACCACTGAGCTACTTGCCCAGCCCTAATGATAACATCTTACATTCCCATGTCAAAAACTAAGAAATCAATACCGGTATATTATTATTACTTTATAGGGATTTTACTAGTTTTTTTCACTAATGGCCTTTTTCTGTTCTAGGATCCAATCCAGGATACCACATTGCATTTAGCTGTCAAATCTTAGTCTACTTGGGTCTATGATGAGAATTTCTCACTTTTGTTTTTTTAATGAGCTTAACAGTTTTGAGGAGCACTAGTCAGGCATTTTGTATAGACTGTATAGACTGTCAGTTTGAGCTTGCCTGAGGTTTTTCTCATAACTAAACTACAGGGATAGGGTTTGGGAAAGGTGCCTTGGTGGCAAAGTCCCCTTCACGTTGTCCCCACCAGAGTACATGCTATCATCATTCATCACTGTGATTTAACCCGATCACGTGGCTCAACAAGCTTATTCTAAGATTTATTTGGAAATGCAAAGGATTTATAATACCAAAAGCAATTTGAAAAATAGGGGTAACGCGGGAGGATTTATACTACCTAACATAATACAAAGCTATGGTAATGAAAACATTGTGGGAAAGGCATAAGGTGAGACAATACATCAGTGAAACAGCACAGATGGTTCAGAAAGAGACCCGTACTTATACAGTTAGCCAATTTTCAACAAAGACGTGAAAACAATTCAATGAAGAATTGTATTTTCATCAAATGATGCTGGAACAACTGGTGTCCAGCTGCAAAAAAAAAAAAAATACTGAGAAACCTGCCTAAGGTCACCAGGTTTATGAATGATGGGGCAAGAATTCCAAGCCAGATTTTGTGGCTAATATGTGTTATAAATTGTGAAAATGCATTTGTAATCAATATATTTAGACCACAATAATTTTTCCATATTAAATTCAATTTGAGGCTATGTTCTTTTTGCAATTTTTATTTTTTATTAGTACATGTTTGTAGTATACAATGATCACATTCCTCATGGGGAGCTGGTACATGCAGGTAACACATTATGACTCTTTTTATCCCCTTCTTCTCTCCTCCCTCCCCCTCCCTCTCTCCTCCCTCCCCCTCCCTCTCTCTCTGTGTCCTTCCCAAAAGGAAGATTTGCAAAAGACCAATCTTCCTATTTTCTATTATCTTTTATTTTGCTCTTTATATTTTGGGATTCTCATATAAGAGAAACCACATGATATTTAAGCTTGTGTGTCTGATTTATTCACTTAATATTATGGTCTGAGGCTGTACTCTTTAAAAATGTCAATGTTATCCAAGAAAAAGATAGGAAATGTTCTGATTAAGAGACTAAAGAGATATAAATAAACTCATTTTATGATCCCAGATTAGATCCTCAGTTATACAAACTACAAAATTTCACAAAGGATATTAATAGAATAATTATAAAGTAACAGAGAGGTTAGATGATATGGTTTTTGATGTTTTGTTTTTATTTTTGAGATAGCATGTCTTTATATATTGCCCAAGGTGGCCTCATATTACTGGGCTCAAGTGATCTTCCTGCCTCAGGCTTCCGGATAGCGGGGACTACAGGTGCAGCCCACTGTACCCAGGTCTAGGTAATTTTGTAGGAATGTTACAGTCCCCAAATTTGATAATTATTCTGGGGGTTATGTAACAATATATTCCTATTCTTTTTTTTTTTTTTTTGGTGCCGGGGATCAAACTTGGGTTCTTGCACTTGTGCAGCAGACAGCGAAACCACTGAGCTAAATCCCCAGCCCATATGTTCCTATTCTTAGAAGATACACGCAGAACTATTTGGAAGTAAAGTATCATGATGTCTGAAATGGCTCAGCACTATTAACAATAAAAATATATGGGAGAAGCCAGGTGTAGTTGCATAGGCCTGTAATCCCAGCACTCTAGAGGCTGAGTCAGGAGGATTGCTGTGAGTTTGAGGCCAACCTAGGAAACATAGTGAGTTCAAAGACTGCCTGAACTATATAGTGATACCTTGTCTCAAAAAACAAAAAACAAAACAAAATAAAATAAAAAAAAATATGGAAGAAATAAAATATTGAAAAAGATTAACAATTGGTAAATCCAAATCAAAAGTACATGACAGTTTATAGTATTATTCTTGGAATTTGCCTGTTTGAAGTTTTTTAGACGTTTAAATAATAACTCAAACACCTTTCGTATGATATTAATTCCACTTACCATGACACTTACAAATTCAGTCTTGTCATTTATGGGTGTTCCTCTCCTACTCAAGGGTTTTACATAGTGCAACACATTCAGGAAAGGCCATCTGCTTTCAGTTCACATTGATCACTGTGTGAGACTGACAACCACCACATCCGGGCTCATGTGAATCTCTTAATTGGACATCCTGGCATCCAGAGTCCAGCCTTCCTGCATGGATTATAACCCTTTTCCTCTTAAGTCCTGTCACCTGCCAAGTCCCATCAAGGAGCCGGTAGAGACCCTGCTATTGGAAGAATTCCCAACCACTCTTCTCTTGCCATTTTCGGAAATCTCTCCCCACCTCAACTGCAGGCCTGCTTTTGCCTTTGCTGCACTCCAGATATATTTCTCCCACCTCTCCCTTTGCTGAGAGATCCTCCCATTCTATCCTGTCTTTAAAATCACAGTTGGACTCACTTTCCTAGTCCAAGGTAGAAAAGGAAATGCTGCTTAATTTTACTAACTCACTATATGCATGAGGAAGACATTTTTAGTATGCTTCAAAAAGTTCAGTGTCAAAAAAAAAAAAAGTTCAATGTTCCAAAGCTGTTCACAGACTACATCAGGATTACTCAAATATTGCTTAAAATGTTGATTTCTGTTTCTATACCAGAGTCTCTGGAAGTGAGGCAGAGAATCTACATTCTTACACACCTTTCTTAGAAGACTCATGTGCACTGGAGTTAAGTGTGAATCATTCATTTAACAAATATGTGGTCAGAGTTGGATCTCTTTGCATTTGGTATGTGTAATATTTTCGTTTCTTTTAGAGATTGTTTCTTATATTACCTTTCTATCGTCAGAGTCTATGACAGGACTTGTGACAATAAATATTCCTGAAATGAATGTAAACATTTGCAGAAGATCTTAAGAATCAAATGAGATTGCTCTTATAGTTTCAGTCTAATTAGGGAGGTAAGCTATGCAAAGTTAAAATGTACAGATACAGTGGTTTTCCTAAAATAGCATATTCTTTAGAAAGGTTGGAACCACTGGAGCTCAGAAAGGTAGGCGATTTTGTGAAAAAGGAAGACATTGAGGAGGAACTTGAGAAGTTGAGAAGGCACTGGAGGGGGGAGGAGATGATAACTGTGTGCACCTGGGGTGACCACAATGTGGCTATAAAACCAGCAGGCTCAGGAGTCAGAGGATGGTGCACAAGGCTTCCGAAGGGAATGATGGAAAGAGCCTGAGAATGATTATGGAGTCCCGAATGGCAGTCTGTGAGTGACAAGAGGGAAATGACATTTTAGGATGAATCATCTGTCAGTTTTATTGGCAATTAAAAATAAGTAGCTCACAAACACTTGCATATTCACCAAACTTGGAATTCCAAAATGCCAGGACCTCTAGCGGAGGATAATTAAGGTGAGTTCTATTTTAGGTCACGTAAAAACTAAGAGTTTAGATAGGTACTGATCACCAAAGAATTTGTTTAAAAATCAGATTCTTGGTAGTGGTAGAAACGTGGTATTACTTCATTCCCTTCCTAAATTGGTGGTCTAAGGCCTCGGGCCAGTCGCCTTGCATTCCTAATACCAGCTATCCTTTCCGTAGTAATTACTGTGTTAAGAGCTTTAAAGAAACGGTGTCATCTAATTTGCCCACCCCCTCTGTAAGGTAGAGGTTAGTTATCACGTCCATTTTACTGATAAGAAAACTGAACCTTAAGGAGGCGGATTTCCCATATCACCGGCGGGAAGTAGCGAAGATGTAAACCTGGAGCTGGTACAGGCCGTCTGTGAAAAACGAGCTTCGCGCGAAAGTAAAGGAAGCGGGACTCGGGGGAACTCTGAAGACTCGGTCCCCTCTTTGGGACGCCTCAGGCACAAGGGCCGAAAAAGTGAAACCGAACCTCTTCTGAGGCAATACCTACAAACTCGGCCCCATTAGGCGCCGTTCCAAAATCACAGTATCTGATTGGCAAGATTGCAGGGACTGGACGACTCTGATTGGCTAGTTGGATCTCGAACCAGGTTAACCCGGTTACGGAAACCGAGGAAGCCGAGGGCGGATTCTGCCTTTAGGAAGTTTAGCTGAAGAAACCCAGGTAGCGGAGGTGAAGAGGTTATCCTGGGTCCAATGGCGACCGTGGAGGGTACCGGCAGCGGCGAGAAAGGACAGGGAGGCGAGACCTCAGTCACCTACTATCGGTTGGAGGAGGTGGCGAAGCACAACTCTGTGAAGGAACTATGGCTGGTGATCCACGGACGAGTCTACGATGTCACCCGCTTCCTTGACGAGGTGGGGCCCTGAGGTGGGGGGCCTCCGGGAGCTGCAGGGATGAGGGGTGAGAGGAGAGTCAGAGGCCGGAAATGAGCCCTGGCCGAGGGCGGTAAGACTGACAGACGGGACCACAGCCCTCAGACACTGAGGGGAAGGGTCTCGGGTCTGCATTTCCAGCCGGCGCGGAATTCTCTTCCCTGTGTCATGTATTACTGATGTATTAAGCACTTATGTGCTAGTTAACTCCAAGCCATGATGGTCTCCACTTTACACAAAGGGGAACTGAGGCCCGGAGAGGCTGAGAACACTCAAGGTCACGCAATTAATGGCCCAGATCCGTTAGAAGCCAGGTCTCAAGTGCTGGGAGAAGAAATAATACCTTCTTGAAAATCTCAGGGGTTTTTTGTTTGTTTGGTTTGGCTGGTTTTTTTTTTCCTTTCGTGGGTTATGCTGCTGCTGCTGCTTTTCCCCCTCTACTCTGAGTTGATGTTAGGACCAAAAAGATCCAGAGTCGACCTTTTTTTTTTTTTTTGCCACTTAGATTCTCTCACCTTTTTTAAATCTTTAAACCCGTTGTTTTAGATTGCATTGCATAAGTTCTCTTGGAGACCATTGTGCAACTGAGTGATTTTTTTTTTAATTTAAGCAAACAGGAGAGACTTTTTAATTTAAACTAATTTTATTGAGGTGTGATTTATGTACAGTTAATTCTGCCCATTAAAATGGTACAGTTTGATACATTTTCACAAGTGTAATCACCATGTAATCAAAACTCTAGTGAAGTAGAGCATTTCTGTTACACTAAAAAGTTGTTTCTTGCTTCTTTGCTGTCATTCTCCCCAACCCCAGGCAACCACTGGTTTGTTACTACTAAAGATTAGTTTGAGGCTTTAATTATTTTATTTTGAGTAATGGATTAGTACCTTTGTGATTGATCTTTCTTTCTTTCTTTTTTTTTTTTTTTGAGACACGGTCTTGCTGTATAGCCCAGGCTGGCTCAAATTTGCATCGATCCTCCTGCCTCAGCCTCCTGAGTGCTGGGATTTTAGGCATGTGCCACCACACCTGGCTGTGATCAATTTCTTGTAACAACCTTGGATAATATAACCTTATTGTAGCTGAAGGGAAAAAAGTTCATTTCTGTTCTTTTTCTCTGAGGCAAATATACTAGTAAAGTTTTTTTCTGTTTAATTTGGGGGCTGGGGAAGAAATTTGGTGCATACATACACTTGACTTGTAGTTCTGTAGAAACTTTTAAAACTTAAAGTTTCACAAGAAGGATGTTGTGCTAATAAATCTTCCCACTGGACAATAAGCTAAAGTCAAGAATTTAGTAACTTGTTGGATTTGAGTAGTGTATGACATTTTATGTTTTTTTTTTTTCAGTGCTGGGACTTGAACCCAGAGTTTGTGCATGCTAGGCAAGCACTCTACCACTGAACTACATCCTCAGCTTCATCCTCAACACAACTAGTTGATAAGAATAAGACCTGATAGGAATAATCCTTATTTTAACAGGTACAGTGGACCCTTGACTTACAAACTCAATTTTGTTTGCGAGGACTATTTGTAACTAAAGTTGGTCAGTTGAAGGCTTGGGCTCCTTACACAGCCTTCAGAGTCTCTCTCCTGTATGCAGGCAGATCTCAGTGTCCTTAGAGAGACACTGGCCCAGGATTTCTGAATTAACCCCACTCAGGACCTTGCGCTTGCAAGGCAGGCTCGGTGCCACTGAGCTAAATACGCGGCCCTCGGGGTTAAATCTGTATCTGAGACATCTAGAAGCGCAAGGGGTTGGCATGTGGGTTGTAACTGAAGACTCTGTTCATAAGTTAAAGCTAAAATTTGTAACCCAAGTTGTTTGTGTGTCAGGCTGGTCATAACTCGAGGTCCGCTGTATAAGAAACAGGTTCAGAGAGATATAATTAATTAAGACAGTCTGATTTAGACAGATCCCTTCATTTTTCTTGTCTCTGTAGCATTACTTCAAAATTCTGGTGTTACCTATTTCCTCTAGGGTTGGCCTGATGGTAAGTTTTGTTAAGCATAGTTCATAATGGGTAGGCAGTTTTGTTTTTCATTTGTGGTTCTTTTGGGACCTTGCACTTGCAAGGCTGGCGTCTGAACCACTGAGCTAAATCCCCGGCCCTAGAATTTCTTCTTGATTGATTTGTAATAGTGAATCTCCAAGGAACACTCAGTGCTTATAGAAAACATTAATTCAATCTAAAGTGGTGGTTGCCAACCTGTTTTACCAGGTGTTGATGTAGCCAGAGACTTTTGGTGTGCAAGGCTTCCCTTGAAGCTTGAACTGTAAATCTTTACCTGCAGTTAGCTATTCTTACTTGTTCTGTAGTCTCTGCCTCTGTTTTGTTCATTCCAAGCGTACACATTCATTCACTTAATCATTAGAGCTAGCATAGTGGCGCATGCCTGCAGTCCCACCACTTGGGAGGCTAAGGCAGGAAGATCACTGTTAACTTGAGGCCAGCCTAGGCTACATAGTGAGTTCAAGGTCAGCCTGGATTACATAGCAAGACCCTGTCTCAAAAAAAAAAAATCAAATTTTGATTGTTTCTTTTTTGGTTTTGGTACCAGTGATCGAACTTGGGACCTTGCGCTTTAGAGGCAGGCGGCAGCACCACTGAGCTAAATCCCTGGGCCCCCAAAAATCAAATATTAAACCTTTACTTTGTGCTAGATACTGTTGTAGGTACTGAGGATACAATAGTGAATAAACATTTATGCCCTCATGGAGATTACAGTCTCCAAGAGACAGAAAATAAACTGAGTAAATAAGTAAAATATATAATGTTAGATAGCAGTAAATGCTTTGAGGAAGACTATTACAGGGAGAAGGACTGAAGTGTGTGTATGGGCTGACCATGTAAAGGTAAGGGGTTGAAATTTCAGGTACAAAGGCCAGAAATAACTTTGAGAACTTGCGCCTCCTGCCTGGCAAGCGCAAGGTCCCAAGTTCAATCCATAGTACCAAAAAAAAACTTTGAGTAGATGGATATGGTGAAGGCCAAGAGTAAGGTAAGAGAGCCAGCCATGTGGATACCTGCAGGAAGAGCAAGCCAGGCAGAGGGAGCAAATTTAAAGGCGTATGGAAAGATGTCTGATGTTTTTGAGGAACAATCAGGGAGACCATGAGTACCTGAGATCAGAAGGGTTGGATAGCAGTACACTGATTGAGACGTTTAGGACTCACTTTGATTTGTGTTCTGAGATGGAAATCACTGGTGTAGAAGTATGGCATGATATGACTTAATGGTTTAATGGGATCATTCTGATCATGTACAGCGTTGCAGATTTTAGGAAGGATTTTACCTTTTGTTCTGACACATTTCAACTTAGCAGTTTAATGAGTTCATTCTGGTAACACTGTTGAGAAAACAGTAAAGGAGGGCAAGAGTAGAATTGGGGAGCCAGTTATGAAGCTCTTGTAATTAAGGCAAGGGATGGTGCCTTGGACTGGAACTCTGGCAGTGGGTAGTAGTAAGAAGTGTCAGATTTTGTGTATGTGCTGCCTAAGCGAGCATGAGAAGTGTCATATTTTGGGGTTTTTTTGAGGGGGAGTGCCAGGGATCGAACTCAGGTCCTTGTGCTTGCCAGGCAGGCGGCGAGAAGTGTCAGATTTTGAATGTGTTGTGATGTTAAAGCCAGTAAAGTTTAATGATGCTGTGGATGTGGAGAGTAAAAGAAAAAGGAGGGCAGAATGACACCAAAGTTTTTGGCCTGCTGGTAAGAATAGGGGTGCTATTAATTTTTAATTCTCTTTACAATCGGAAATCACTTTGGGATTCCCTTAGTAAGGGCTTCCTAATCTGAATATCCTTCATCTATAGGTTGGCATTTTTTATTTTTAATTAATGACTGGTAAAATTATTTTAATCCAAAGAATTTGTTTGAATCTTTCTATAACTTTCTTGCATATACTTATACAGTGGACCCTCGAGTTACAACTGGCCTGACATATGAACAGCTTGGGTTATGACCGGAATTTTAGTAACTTACAAACAGAATCTTGAGTTATGACCCAAATGCCAGCTGCTATGCTTCTGTATCTGGTCTCAGATACAGATTTAAACCTGAAATTGTTCTGAAAGGAACATTACAACATCCTTTCCAGTGTGGAGTTAGTTGAGAAATCCTGGGCCAGTGTCTCTCTAAGGACACTGAGATCTCCCTGGAAGAAAATGTGGCCTAAAATTATATAGAAGAGAGACTTTGAAGTCACCTAACCAACTGGAATTACAACCAGCCCTTGGGAATGAATTGACTTCGTAAGTCAAGGGTCCACCGTATGTACAAATATATATGGAAAGATCAAGTATTCCTTTTTTTTTTGAGAGCCAGAGGTTTTTTGTTTGTTTGTTTTTTTGGTACTAGGCATTGAACTCAGGACCTTGCGCATGTGAGACAGGTGGCAGCACCACTGAGGTAAATCCCCAGGCTCAGAGAGCCAGAGTTTTGTTGTGTTTCCCAGACTGGCCTCAATCACTTCACCTGAAGCAATTCTTCTGCCTCAGCCTCCCTGGTAATTTGGATTGACACTCATGTTATTGGCCGCTTAGGTTCATATGCTTAGGTTCATTTGCTTGCCACTGACCAAATCAAAGGAGGTTATAGATTTTGATAAAAAAGAAACAGGAGTTTATTCAAAGCTATCCCTGAGGAGATATAAAAGGGCCCGTTTGCCTCAAATCACCATCTCCCTTTGTCCAGGTAGGTAAGGGTCTTTTATAGTAAAGAACAGAAGGGAAGGGGATCCTAGAGAGACAGGGCACATCTTCACACTTGCATTATTGCTTCCAGCCATCTTCAGCTCTTTGTCTCCTTTCATGTGGAAAGGAAATTGGGCTTCAGGTCTCCCGGTGTCAGCATCTGCATATTCTGTCACTTCTTTTGGGCTGAGGAGAGGATTTTTTTTTTCTTAAATTTTATCCTTATTAGTACATGTTTGCAGTACATAATGTTTACATTCCTTGTGTGGAGTGTGCGTAATGTATCTT